TGTTGGTGCTCCACATACAAACTGTTCGCTGCAAACTCGGGATGATTTAGGCAGTCAAAGGTTTCCTTTTATGTCCTCCCTGTGGATCAATACTGCTCATCGCCTTCACCTTTCACTATTTTTCAATTCCGTTGGGCAGGGAAACAGTTTGAACAGAGGTTTGCAGTCACCCAGATCTGATTCCCTTTTGCATTTATGGAGTTCACAAACAAATTTCTCGAGCTGTTTTCCGCTGTTAGGATCCAACAACCACACAATTAATAATGTCCGAATCCCAAAACTAAAATATGACAATATCAGAACCAGAAACAAAAGTGATATGGTTCAAAAGACTAGAAAGGCTTTGTCAATAGACACATCCCACTGGAAAAACACATATGGTGTTTGATGCTCACTTTTTCAGAAAATCCATCCCAGTGTGCATTGTGCAATGACCGGAAGTCCAAGATTCTTGATGTATCTATTGACTTACATTGAGATCTTATCACCCTTCTCTCTCTAACTGCTGCAGTGAGCCTCATCATTTTGGTCTTCGTACCAACCAACGACACATGATCCTGAATTTTTTTTCTCTATTTGTCTGTCAAAAAATCCTATTCATCACATAGAGTCTGGCTCCAGATTCGCTCCAGTAAGGGTGAACATCACGAGCCTCATTTGAGCGGCGCTGAACTCTGTGGGTGACATAACACTCGCTTAGTCCACTTCTTTTATACAGTCTATGTTCCTTTCTGTAAGTGGGCTTGCATCTCCACAAACCTGACTCTTATTTGGTCTGGGAGATGGCCTCCTTTGGTTATAATATTCCACAGTATGACAAAAAACTCCATCTCCACGAAGAATGTTAGAAAGTTATGTGGTTGAAATATGGTAACTTTAAATTTCTAGTTCAACTGAATGATGCAGGTGAGTTGGATGTTCATCAGACATGTCCCTAAAGCAGCTACAGGACCATTGCTTTTTAATAACTGAGGGTAATGGAGAAGGGGCGGAGCTAGGTGGTGGTGGACATTATCAGTGTCCTCACCTGACTACACCAGGTCAGTCTGGTGTATACAACAACCTGCTGGACATCTCATCAGACCAATCAAGAACCACGAGGAATCAAAGTTCTAATGTTTAGGGACAATTACTTCATTCCAGGTCTTGACGGGGCCTCCACCTTCATGCAACAGTTCATGCTCCCTTTGGGGTTGATATACACCTATACACTCTCTTCACGCTTACATCACAAACCAGGAAGACGTTTGGAAAGATGCAATTACAACTTCCCAGGCCCAGTTTTTTTCATCTCCATGTCATCGTAGTGTTCCGTTATGTTCAGCTCATCAACAATTCCAACCATACCTCAGTTTTCATCACTTCCCCGCTGACACAGCCCCGAGCGCACTGGTACATGTGATTAGAAGAGATGAGGGCGCCACCTTTAAACCAAGTGGCAGACAAAAGCAAATTAAAATCGGTGGCTAAATTACTATTTCTGGCAGAAGTGTGTGCTGTTAAACTGGATACATGAGAAGCCACTGACTGTTACTCAGCAGTATAAGGACATTGTTAGTCTTACCCATGGAAAGAATGGAAAGAGTCAGTGCAAAATTGAAAGGTAATTATGATTTCTTTATGGAGTTGTGGTGGCCTCTGCTTGACGACTTGCCCGGTGATCTCAGTGTCTCTATACAGAGAGGTAGAGGCTCAGTGTTGCCTGTTTGACCAGGTCGGTGTGTCTTGCATTATTGGGTAATATTTCTGTACTGAGGAAAATTCAAACATGTGCTCGGACTTCTCTTTGTTTTGTGTTGTGTTAAAATGTTGAAAACTTAATCAGATATGTTTAAATAAAAAGGATGAGGCGCCAAATTCAAGATGATTCCAAAGAGCACATACGTATGCAGTCCTTATTTTACCTCTGATCACATTTACTTTTAGCACTGTCAGTTTTAATAGATCCATGTTAGGCGAGTCCAGTGTCGGAAACTACTCTGGAAGTTGTAATTGCATCTTTCTAAGTGTCTTCTTGGTTTGTGACATTAAAACCTATACAAAAAGTTGAGACAGCCATAACAAATTTATTATGTATAAAGAAATATGTGTGCTTTGATATTGCTCTATACCATGATACAACGCTCTATCCCACCAACATGTGTTCCACCTTATACTCCGACCAAAATGAAGTGGAGTCATTGCAAATGCATTTATCATTACTGGAGACCCTTAGCGGGAAGTGGACCAAAAATCATAGTCCTGTGTTAAACAAAAATAAAATAAAAAATAACCTTTTATTTGAGAGAAATCTGGGCGTCATCTTCTCCTGGTGTAACTCATAACCATCTCTGGTCATGTGACAATATACAGTAAATATGTGGTATTGCACACATTTCATCGCAACCCTCTACTCTTTCAGAAAATACACACAGGAACAAATGTAGAGCTTTAAAAGTACACAGTTATTTAGTGGTCACAAATGGGACTGGTGGGATGAAATGGGTTAAGTTCCTCAGTCCTGCTTTAACACTGGGTTTAACTCCAAGTACATATGACAGGTATTTCATGTTTTTCTCATTATAACTTGGTTTTGGTGGGATAGCATCTCTAGTCAATATTTATCATAGTTTTATATCAGTTAAATGACAGTTTGGGAGGAAATGAGGAATACTTTTTTCTATGTCACCAATATGTCTAAGTTGCCATATGCACTTTAATCATATTACCATGACATGAGAATATTCCTACTGAAAGGAATCAGGAAAAGCTGACTCTGAGAAAGGGTCACAACAGCTGAACAAGCAGATAAATAAAACTTTTGTTAAATCCAGGTGAGAGGAAAGTGTTTTTCAATCTAAAAAAATCCCATATAAAAAAGTTTATTCTGCAAAATTAGTCTTAAAGAGAGGGTATTTTTGGAGCTTTCTACCATGTTATAACATTGTTCCTTCATCAAAAACATGCCTGAAGAGGATTTAGATGTCATCCATGCATGTTTGATTAATCTAGCAATCTCTCCTGGGGTCTATTCAACCCAGCACTCAACAGTTTTTCATAAATATACAAAAGTATGATACACCCTCTTTAAGTAGGTCCATCCACTTTTTGGTACAACACTATTTCTATTACCATGCTATTACTGTGCTAGTGTTCACATAATTATTATTTCAATTTGCTGATAATTTCACTTGAATTATGAAAAATGTTAAGAACCAGTAACTGTAGATCTAGTATGTAAATGATTCTAATCCATTCAAACTAAGACTGATTGAGAGTTGAGTAATTCTGATTTTTACATCATTCCTTTTATGCATTTGATATAGAGATCACACAGGCCACATATATTCTTTGTCTAGTTTGAGACATAGACTGTATATATAAGTGGACATACAGGAAGTGAGCGTGAGCACAAAGTGGTTCTGTCAAGTTCTGGTTCTAACTCACTTTCTATTGAAAAGCCGTCACCCCTCTCTCTGTAACTGCTGCTGTCAGGCTCGTCATTCTGATCTTAGGCCCCATCCATATTCGAGTTGTTTTCGTTGTGGATGCAGTCTTTGTCCACACTAATCCAATGTAAAATGACTCCAAAGACGGAACGATCTGGTGCTGCCAGTTCCCACGAATTCATCTGAGTACGAATCTGATCCGGCACTGTGTGGACGCCTGAAAACTTTGATACGCTGATGTAGAAGCTCTAGTTGCCGTCCTTATTGGACCACGTCACTGTGACTTGTGCCTTCCTGATTCAATGGGTTCATGACATCGGTCATATGACACTATTGCGGAAAACAGTTTAAACAAACCATAGACAAATGGGAAACAGTGGAGCTAGAACTACTTGCACAGAACAGACTCACCTTTAGCAGAACACCCCTCTGTCACAGAAAGAACACTCATATTCCACTGAATCGTGTCCTTTTTAAGTCCGACAGAAGCTGAACCGCATCAGGGCACAAGAAGCGAGCTGTTTTTTTAGCTCTCAGTTTATGCAAATTAACCATGTGGTTTTAAGTTTTGTTTCTGTAAAACGTAAACAAATGTGCACAACACTGTGTGGATAGGGAAGGATTGTGGACACAGAAACGACGTGTCTGGACGCAAATTGTTTCTGATACAGTGATATGGCGATATGGTGAGTTGTTTCAATGTAAACATAACCTTAAAATGTTCATATTAACTCACTGTATCCTTTATTTCACTATTTCATTCCAAAATCAAGTTATGAACAGACCACAACCACGTGCCTTGTTTCCCCGAGGGTGAAATCACACTCACGTTGTCCACTTCTATTATACAGTCTATGCTCTGAGAAGGTATAGTTAGCCTTACAGTTTTAAAAGGGAAAAGTTGCTGACCCAATTCACAAAATCACTTCAGTATTATTTCCGATTTGGAATTTGTACAGCTCAAAACATGACATTTAAAGGACATTTTTATAGAATTGCTTTAAGAAAACCCCAAAACATTTAGAAAAACATGCCGTACACAAGTCCAACCACGTCCCCCATAAAGACAGAACATTCAGGTATAAAAACTACTGCTCATCTGGCAAAAACAGGATCAATAAATACATACAAAATAAATAAATAGGAAATTATAACAACTCATTATTATTATTATTATTATTATTATTATTATTATTATTATTATTGTAAAGGTGCACTGCGTAACATTTCTGACTAAGAGTATGTCACCTGCTTGTCTCCATGGTGATGTGTGACATTCAGTATATTTATCTAATATTTATTTCATTACTGGTGTTTTTATTGCTCATAAAACAGTGTGAGTGGGGTCGCCTCTCCACAGATCTGACTCGTAACTTGCCCCAGTGGCATCACGTACGTACTTGTCCGCACGGAGAGGTTTAACGTTATACTGTGGAACATTCAAGGCAAAGCGAGAACATCTCCATGGAGACAACAGGTGGCATAATAAAGGTTCCGTGAGCTTACCCTTCACCAGAAAAGTTCCGCAGTGCAGCTTTAAATGATATAAACTTGTTTTGAACACGGGTGCAGTCATTGGCTCGGAGGTTGTGTCGTCCATATACTTATACTTCGAATTATAATCCATTCTTTTTGATTCGCCGTGACAACAATCCTCACGCATTCAATATCGAACGCGATTTTCCGGTCCACGTCCTGTACCTCCACATTTCCATTCTTAAACTCTCCGATCGTAATAAAACTTGAGCACTGTTTTCCTTTTTTAGTCCCTACCAATTTCTCTCCAACTTCCAACGCTCCATGATGCAAGATATCGCTCTGCCTGTCGTCCGATCCCGTGGCGATTTTGATCTTGCTGATTTTGGTCGATTTGTTGAAAACGATCATGAAAAAATCGCCGGTCGCTGGCGGTTTCCCCCAAAAGTACTCGTCCACGGTGCTGTAAGCTTTCGTGGCATCGTAATTCTCGAAAACGTTAATATTCGTGAATAAATTCGCGGGGGGGTTATCGGGAATGTCGAGTGAATCCTCTTCGAAATCGTCGTCTTTTAGCTTGTTTTCCGCTCCTTTGTACGAAGAGTAGTACCCCATGTGTTGGAACAGCGACGGTTTGAATCTGATGACGTCTTTTTGAGCTAGCAATCCGCGGAAATGTATTAGCAACCAATCGCACGGCATTTCCTGGTAGAACATTAGCAAAAAGTGTGCTAGCCGTGGCAAATCGCGCGAGTGGTACAGCTTCCCGATGTAACCCAGTTTAGAAAATTCCAGCGTCACCCAATAGGAATTTTCTCGAGATGTGATGACCTTTTTGAGCGCTGTTAGGAAATTTCTGGAGCAACGCACATCGTCTTCTAACATCATGTAAAAGTCAGATAAGTTCGTGCAAAAGTTTAGCAGAAATGCGTAGTCGACGTTCTGTTTGGAGCGGAATCGGACTCGGTCTTCGGGGTCATTGTAGTTCCGTTTGAGTCCGTCCAGGGATGGGTAGTATTCCTCGGGAGCTTGGATGACCAGTAAGCGCCCGGCGATGATGTGATGCGCGAATTTCCGAGTGATTTCCTGGACCAAATATTCGCACCAAACCAAATCGAAATCGGCCAAATGCACCACCACGACGATCTCCTTCAGCTCCTCGTAGCTGGACTGATCGAAGATGGATTTGATGGTCTCCAGAAGGTAGTTCCCACGTTTTCGTTTGACCGAGGAGAGGCCGATCGTCAGGTATTCTGGGAAAACACACAAATAAGAATTACACAAAAACACAGAATTACTCCAACAATACACAAATAACACCAAAAGATGATGTAGTTGGTCTCTATCCAAGTGTATTTTTAGCAGCCCTATTAGTATTGTGAAAGGAATTGCAGTAAAAAGTTTGACAAATTTGAAACTTAAAATTAATTTTTACATATTTTCATTGAGAGGGAGTATAACTCTTCTATAAGGTATATGGATTTTTTGTGGCTGATCTGATAATGAAAAGCTGATATATTTAGTGATGTAAAAAATCACTGTAAATCTTCACTTGATTATTAAACTTAGGTCTGGTTCTACTGGATTTTATATTGGGATTGTTAAGGCAGCATTTATTGTTATTCTGCCTCTTTACAGTCATATTTAAAGACAGTAGAACAGCCTTATGACATTTTTGCATAACATTCTAGCCAGTAAAGAAAGTAAGTAAACTACTGCTATTAGCCTTTAGTGGTAAATTCTGCATGCAGTGGTAATTAATTATATGCATAAATGTGGATTATTCACATCTCTAGTCATAGCTCATTTACATGTCAATGCAGGTCCAGTAACGTGTGTACAGCCACAATAGTCACTTTACAGTAGGCCAGTGTAAGACAAAACCGGGTGTTTATGTATGGAAGCTACTAACCAGTGAGAAAGAATGAAAAGCAGCTTCAAAACTGACACATTTGTAACACTCATACCGGCACCTCTCAGATCACAAGTCTTCACAAATAAGTTTGATAAAAAGAAGCAGTAGTTTTGTTGCTGGCCTAAACTTTGCTGAAGTACTTTTAAAAAAAAAAAGTCATTCAGTATCATGGATCAGATACAAGAGCATTTAAAGCAGTGCCTCAGTGTTGCGGACATGGATCTTGTAAACAAGCGCACCTGAGTGACGTGACTTTTCGGGTGCGTTCAGGGGCAGTATGGCGTCATGCACACAGACAAATTAATCATACTGACATATTAGGACATTTATCTGTTAGTAAACTGGATTAAACTGACATAATATAGAGAGTCTAAGATGTATAACGAGGTATAACACGCCCTCGTAGACTCTTGGCCCATGTCAGCAAGATTTAGACTGATAGCCGATATGACTCCAAGTGCCAGTGTTGGCCAATTATATCAGTAAAAAGCTCCAAAAACTCTATTTTGCATAATACTCCCTCTTTAAATGAAACGAGAATTTCAAAATACAGGCATATAAATGTCATTCTCTTGTTCAAGTTTCTTCTAACAGGAAGTGTACACAGCTCTGCTCCTCAGGCTTTAACTTTCTTAAATCGCTTGTGGCTTGTAGCTACTAAACAGTCTAAAAAAGGCACACTGAAGAGGAGAGTTTCACTACACAATAATAACGTTAGCTGACTGATACTCTACTACTACAACAACTACTGCTAGTACTGCTGCTACAGCTATTACTTGCTACTACTACTTCTGATGCTGCTACTACTACTACTGCTATTGCTCCTACTGCAACTACGACTGCTACCTGCTACTACTACTACTACTACTGCTGCTACTACTGTTACTGCTACTGCTACTGCTACTACTACAACTTGCAGCTACTACTGCTGCTACCAGCTACTACCACTACCACTATTACTACTGCTGTTACTATCACACTATGCACTGACAGAGTGAATGATGGACTATTTGACACTGCTACTAGAATTGTCAATGCCTTTCACTTGTATTGTGCTTCACAAGGTTGACAAAATCTCTCAGAGCTCCACTGTATTCAAGCTGCTATTCTGTGCCAAGGGCCCTGCTGATCACTAACACTTGTACCACTTCTACTACCACCTTCTACATTTTGGTCTTAGACCCGCTGTATCAGTAGTAAATAAGGCATAGATTAAAAAGTACTTCAACGACTACATAAACCTTGAATCAGAGATACAGTATTTGGTGTGTACGTTGCAGCAGATGGATGGCAGTGTTTACCGTAATGTCTGTCATAATGTCGCACCGAGGAGCACTTTATTTTTACAGCTCACTTTAAATCCACATGTTTCTGTGTGTGTGTCTCAGAAGGGCCCTAAACTCTTCCACAGAACAGGTACAAAACAGTACGAGAGAGCCTGAGGTTCAACCCGAGAGCAAGTACGACAATTTAAAGTTTTTAAATGCACTTTTATATTGAGTTAGTGAATCATCAAGGAGTCTTCTCAGTGTACGTGTGAGTTCCATTAAAGATACTAGGACACAAAGCACAGTACACTTGGACACAGTCAGCCCCACTTACCGCAGTATTTAGTCTTTTTTGCTTACTGTCATATGCAGTACTTTGATGAATTTTTCCCCATTCAAAAGATACAATAATTTATTTTTTATTGTTTAAAGCTATGGCAATGGTTATAATCTTTCATAATTCTGAAACCCATGAATACAAGCGCCTCTCAATCCATAGACTGTGGTATCTTTAGTTCTCATTCATTGCTGCTAAGTATCTGTAGTACTCACTCTTTCTTGTTGGCAGCGTTCCAGCTAAAGGCCACCACACACTACTAGGAGAATTTGCCTGATTTTGGTTGCGATTTGCTTCTCCCTGTGTTCGGGGAGGCATGACCCAACTTTGTGTCTTTGTGTGAGATTTTGAAGCTGCTGCACTCCTCATGTGTGGTGTAAGTGTGACTCTGGGCTGCTCTGTCAGATCATAACCACCAAACATCAGCAACACTACGGTAACAGCGAATAAAACAAAGCATCAGGGGCAGAGGAGTGACGGACACAGAGGTGCAAGATACAAACTCGAGATAGAACGAAAATAATGAGAAGACATTACGCACCTCTTGTAAAGTGGTAAATTGAAAGTGCCGTATCTCATCATTATCATCATTATCCATGGAAACTCTACTCAGCAAATAATGGCATCCAGTCCACAAAACTGTGCTATTAATAAAGTTAGGTTAGGTTAGGTTGCTTTATTCGTACCCGTAGGTAAATTTGCTTTGCAGATTTAAGGTTCCACATTTCACATTTCGTTCATCCACAAAACACACATAAAAACACAATAAAGTGTTACAATAAAGTGTTACAGTGCTCCAGTGCAGAATGGTCTGTTCCATAAACAACCAATTAAAATCATCCATCACGCTTGGCTAAAAACACAATAAATAAATCTTAAATATGTTAAAAACACACAATCTTAGATAAATAGATTACAATTTATTCATAAGTACAATAGCAGCCGGAACGAAGCTCCTTTTAAAACGATTCGTTCTAGATCTTGGGACTAAAAACCTCTGACCAGAGGGAAGCAGCTGAAACTCTGAGTTTAGTGGATGTTGCACGTCTCCCAAAATACTGGGACATCCTCTGTAAGTGTCTCGAGTACAGAGAGTCCAGCGGCTCTGAGGATGAACAATCACCTGACTCGCCCATTTAACCAACTGATTCAGGGAGTTCTTGTTTTTAGCAGAAATGCTCCCAAACCACGAGACCAGTGAAAACTTCAAAACCTATTCCATAAATGTTTTATAAAACAGTGTCATCATGGTTCTGTCTACACGGTAAAAGGACCACTTTCTCAGACAGTGAAGGCGCTGGTGCCTCTTTTACACACACCAGAACAATTATCGTCAAAACTCAATTTTGAATCAATGAGTGTTCCAAGATATTTATATGAGTCACACACTCAACTGACTGCCGCTTTATCTCTGTGACATCACACTGAGGCGCTTGTTTTCGAAAGTCGATAATCATATCCTTCGTTTTGGATACATTTAGGTGTAGATTTGACTCTTCACACCATTTTACAAAGTCCTCAACAATTGGCCCATGTTGGTTTTCATTTTTGTGAAGCAAGCTCACAATGACAGAATCATCTGCATATTTTATTATTGTTCTATCTCATAGGTGCTCTGACACTTATTGGTGTAGAGTATGAACAATAGGGATGAAAGAACGCATCCCTGCGGCGATCCGGTTGATGCCACCATCTGGTCAGAAAGAACACCTTTCACTCTTACTCTTTGTGTTCTCTGTGTTAAAAAATCAAGAATCCACCCCACAGTACTAAAATCAAGGCTAAAATGTTCTAAAAGTCTTTTACAAAGAATATGAGGTTGGATTGTGTTGAACGCAGATGAAAAGTCAATAAAAAGAAGTCTTGCATGCGTTTTTGAGGTGTTCTTTGAAAGTAAAAAGGCCAGAGTAGTTCCTCATGTGTGTGTGTTTACATCCACACAGTGCACGGATCGAGGTGAACCTGGAGCTCTGGAACAACTGTACAGAAAAGCTAAAATTGTGCACCAGTCTCTTTCACTTTATAAAGAAGTTTAAATGTTTAACTCTGGACAGATACATGAAATATGATACATAGTTTGTGCTGTAGTACTTTGTTGTACTGTTACTGATTTGTTTGTTTCCTCCTGCTGTATTTTTGAAGATGAACTGGTGTTAAGATGAAGCTCTGACAAAGGAATAAAGGGTAAAGGGCATAATAAGCTTAAGCTTCAGCCTGCACCTTTTCGGTCTGTGTATGTTAAATTATGACTGTCTGTGAATTAATGTCAAAATATACCTGTGACCGAAATAAATAAATAATCAGTCAACCTGCAGATTAGTGATAGTGAGTCTACTTCCTGTGGACTTTATGGCCAATATTTTCTGCTTTAAAAATCATGTATCTGAAGTATTGCACCATATTTTACAAGTAATAATAACACAGTTTTGACTTGTATCTAAACTAGAAGTTCAGAGCTCTGATCTTTGAACACTTAAGAGTCTGAAAGCGAAAGGTTTTACTGTAGACAGGAAACAGCTAACGCGATCGTGTTCACAACTTTATAGTCTGTGGTCTGCAGACATATCCCACTGCAGTCTTTGCGATCGGAGATTTTAAGTCTCATAAGTTTCTCCTAATTGTGTCTGTGGCGTGAGCTTTTTGTCGTTTAAGACCAAAAAATCCTGTAGTGTGTGGCGGCCTTAAGTATCTGTAGTGCTCACTCTTTCTCTTAAGTGTCTGTAGTACTCACTCTTTCTCCTAGGTATCTGTAGTATTCACTCTTTCTGGTTAATGGCGTTCCTACTAAGTATCTGTAGTACTTGATTTTCTCTAAGGTATCTGTAGTACTCACTCTTTCTGGTTAACGGCGTCCCTGCTAAGTATCTGTAGTACTCACTCTTTCTTCTAAGTATCTGTAGTACTCGCTTTTTCTTCTAAGTATCTGTAGTACTCGCTTTTTCTCTAAGGTATCTGTTGTACTCACTCTTTCTCCCAAGTATGTGTAGTACTCGCTTTTTCTCTAAGGTATCTGTTGTACTCACTCTTTCTTCTAAGTATCTGTAGTACTCGCTTTTTCTCTAAGGTATCTGTTGTACTCACGCTTTCTCCCAAGTATGTGTAGTACTCACTCTTTCTGGTTAACAGTGTTCCTACTGAAGTATTTGTAGTACTCACTCTTTCTCCCAAGTATGTGTAGTACTTACTTTTTCTGGTTAATGGCGTTCCTGCTAAGTATCTGTAGGTGACGTTGATGGACCCAGAGAAGTTGCTGAGGTCTCTGAAGCTGTGGACGTAGCGCTCCGAGTGGGGGGAGTGAGGAGTGGTGTCCCGCAACTGACGCTTGTCCTCCTCCTGAAAAAAGACGTGACAAAAGACAATAACAAACGAGTGAAGGAAAATATGAAATAATAATTAGTCTAAAGATTTGGTACCTTTGTCACACTTTTGTAGGAGTTCTTTAATTAAGGACCGTGAATAAAATGATGAAGAGATTTTGTAGCTGGTGATTTTGAAAGCAGTGGGTGAGGGGTTTTGGTTTCTGTTTTTTATCATATTTATTAGCTGTCTTTGCCTAGAATTTTCTACAGCATGGCATTAAATTCATCTATCTCCATGGAGACAAGCGAACGATTCCAAGTTACAGGTCAGATCTATGCAGACGTGTGGTGAGGTCACTCACAGTAAGAATACTAAGCTATTTCTGCTCCACCAGTCGAGCAAGGTAGCGGTCTCCTCTTCACAGAAAGTGACGTAGTGCATGGTTTAAGACCATCTCTAGTCCAGATCTGGTCCACACCTCTTTATTCACCTACCCTTGTGTCCATGGGCAACACACGTCACCCACATTGGCCAATAGTGACACTGGAGGTATGGTAAGTTAGGGTAGGATAGTGGATTTGACCATAGGTGCATGTTTTTGTGTTCAGAGGAAACCCTCCCAGACACACGGAGAAACATACAAACTTCACACTACATGCGAGTTTCTCCCAGGGGACCAGGGATCGAACCTAGAACCTGGACAAAGTCACTGGACAAAGCCTGTGTGCATATTTAGATAATCCAAAGATATATAAATAATATTGTCCAGCCTGGGTCACACTGTAAAAACATCACTGCAGGAAATCTAAAATTCTCTACGAAAAAAATGAGTTTGGTGTAAATAATTCAGGTTTGGGGAGCGGGAGAAATCAGCTGAACTTGTTTTGGCCTTGTGAACAAAAATACTTCCTCACGGTTTATTTCCTCCAATAACCCTCGACATTTAGAGACAAAAAACAGCTAAATCCCCAACAGAAATTTCTCAATTGGATCAGAGAAGAGCGGCGTTCAATTATTAACATGACTAATCCAATGTGCTGTGAAGAGTCTGTGAAGAGGACATGTCTCGTGTGGAGAGCCTCATGTTAAATGTAAAGTGTTTTCTTTTGAAAAACTTCATATCTTGAGAAACAAGCATCCACCAAACGGAACATGAGGACTGTAATGGGCAGACAGACAAACAAGAGCAGAGCTGTCACACAGCGTTATACACTCAGAGACTAGTCTGAAGAGGCGGAAGGAAGAGAGGCAGATTTACAAAACTACTGTCAGGGTTACATGAAAGATATGAGAATGAAACCAGGACTAAACTAGGATTAAATTAAATCTAAATCAGGACTAAATCAGGACTACACCAGGACTAAACCAGGACTACACCAGGACTAAACCAGGACTAACCAGGATATACACCCAGGACTAAACCAGGACTAAACCAGGATACACCAGGACTACACCAGGATTACACCAGGACTAAACCAGGATTACCCAGGACTAAACCAGACTAACCAGACTAAACCAGGACTACACCAGGACTACCAGGACAACACCAGGATTACACCAGGACTAAACCAGTACTAAACCAGTACTACACCAGGATTACACCAGGACTAAACCAGGATTACACCAGGACAACACCAGGATTACACCAGGACTAAACCAGTACTAAACCAGTACTAAACCAGTACTACACCAGGACTACACCAGGACTAAACCAGGATTACACCAGGACTACACTAGGACTAAACCTGGACTACACCAGGACTAAACCAGGATTACACCAGGACTAAACCAGGACTAAACCAGGATTACACCAGGACTACACCAGGACTAAACCAGGATTACACCAGGACTACACCAGGACTAAACCAGGATTATACCAGGACTAAACCAGGATTACACCAGGACTATACCAGGACTAAACCAGGATTATACCAGGACTAAACCTGGACTACACCAGGACTACACCAGGACTACACCAGGACTATACCAGGACTAAACCAGGATTACACCAGGACTAAACCAGGACTAAACCAGGATTACACCAGGACTATACCAGGACTAAACCAGGATTATACCAGGACTAAACCAGGACTAAACCAGGATTACACCAGGACTACACCAGGACTAAACCAGGATTACACCAGGACTACACCAGGACTAAACCAGGATTACACCAGGACTACGCTAGGACTTGAGAGTCTTGCCCAAGAAGATCCAAGGACCCAAACAGGACTGCCCAGATAAAGTATGGGAAAAAGGTCTGAACAAAGTCATAACTACAGACTTAGATAGGGTCCACCCTCTGTATAAGTCAGTGACCTCAGTTGCCAGAGCTGCCCTGGGACAGACTGAAGCAGTGAGGCCTGCAAGGGTTTGCCCGTACACACTGTGCCCGTACACACTGTGCCCGTACACAGCCCACAGAATCCACATCTGTTTACAGTAGAGCAGGGTGAAGTGTCTTGCCCAAGGACAGCCACTTTATGCACTAGGCAGAGCGGGAATCACACAGTTAACCTTTGAGTTTGAGGATGTGTGCTCTAGCCCCTGCCACCTAGTCGCAGCAATAGTTGTGGAAATAGTATTCGCAGTAGTCATATTAGTACTCACCAGCACGTATCCGTCCTCCATGTAGAGGTTGAGGAACAGCAGGGAGGTGAGCAGAAGGCCCAGCAGGGGGAGCATGGAGCGCTTCCTCAAACAGCGCATCTTATCCACAGACTTATACAGACAACGCATGATCCACTACAGACTGCAGGGGTCTGAGGAAGAGTAGAGACAGAGAGAGAGGGAGGGAGAGGGAGAAGAGAGGTTAGATCAGGGCTCTTTACACACTCAAGATGCATGCACGGATGTTGTGATCAGTCACTTTTGGACACTTGATCATTGGTACTGATGTGATCTCACGTTTGTCCAGGAGAGATCCATGGTACCAAAGGTTTCTATGAAAAACCTATGAAAAGAAACCATGAAAGTCGTCTACAGAGGGAGCTATAAGACAGTAAACAGATTGTGCTTGTTACGGAAAACCAAAAGAACCACATCTCTGTATTTACATGTGTTTTTATTGCTCACAAATTCTTACTGTGGGTGGGCTCGCCTCTCCACAGACGTAGACACTCATTGATAGAACTTTACACAGAATTCCAAAACACAAACTTCCTCAAACTTGCTCACTTTTCGTCTCCTGAGTATGGATCCTCCTCCGCTTCAAGTCCTCGGTTTTTGGACATTTGCCTTTTTATAGATCGCTAAACAAAGTGGAACTAAACACTAAATCCATTTTGTTCCTACTAAACTGTGTACATGGTGTTTTAATAGCACTGCCCACTGTTTTAGACTTTTTACTTTTCAGATTTAGTGCAAACTGTGTAAATTTGTGTGCTGCCTCCAGGGGATACTGCTATTTCCAGTAGTTGGTGACATCACACAGCACTGCCCTGATTACAGCCTGGAGTTTCCCGATACAAACGCCTGACTGTGGGGGCGGAGTTTGAAGTGTGGAGACCCGTTCGACCAATCACACAGGTCTTGATACCTCCAGACTCCGCCCCTACTCCCCCTCACTCTCCCCTTTAGGTGGCAGACTTTCTATCATAAAAAAGTTCCATATTACACCTTAGAATAGGGTGACCAAATTTTCAAAATCAAAAACTGGGACTCCCGTGGTTTGTGGTGGTTGATAATAATATAATTGTGAAACAAGTGCGTAATTAAGGAAAACTGTTCTGCACTCAGCCCATTCCTGACTAACATGTGAGTCAGTATAGTCACATTTCCTTTGTGTTTTGGTTGTTTTGTCAGATCATTGGTGCACCACACCCCTCCCTGCAAAACCTATACACCACCCGCCTCACCCACAAAGCCATCACAATTTCGAGTGATGCAAGTCACCCCGCACACAATCTGTTCAGTCTCTTGACCTCCAAAAGACTCACACTAACAGCTTCATCCATCAGGCTGTTAGGATGCTGAACTCTCTCGCCTCTCTAACGACCAGGCAGACAGGAAGCAAGGAATCTGCATCTCCCTAAAAAAGAACTTTGGACTTTTCCTTTTATCTTATTATTATTATTTAATTTTGATGATTTAGAGTGAGAACTTAATTTCATTTTTTTATATGTTCATATGGAAATTTGACACTAAACTTTTTGAATTGAATTTTTAAGCAGCTTTTCTGTATTTTACCTAAACATGTGGCAATGTATCAGTGGTGGACCATTGTTTTGCAAGTCTCAAGTAAATCTCAAGTCTCTGACCTCAAGTCCAAGTCAAGTCCAAATCGTCTGCTTTGAGCTACAATCATTTCAAGTCTTTAAACCAAAGTACCAAATATAGCTTTGGTTTTTGCAATTTATATTTGAATTTTAATCTAAATTGTACTTTAAAAAGTATTTATAGAGTATGTAAAAGTTGTAGAAATTTTCCTTTTTCCTTTTTAAATGTCTTGACAAGAGCTTAGTGTGAATCATTACGGTCAGAATAGAAAGAATTCAGATTTAAACGGGCTTCTGAAGTCTTCTCAAGTCACAGGCCTCAAGTCTGAGTCAAGTCCCAAGTCACTGAACTTCAAGTCCAAGTTGAGTCCCAACTCTTAGTCCATTTTATCAAGTCAAGACTCAAGTCCTAAAAACAGTGACTCAAGTCTGACTCGAGTCCAAGTCATGACTTGCAAGTCCCCACCTCTGCAATGTATGTGTCTCTTTACTGCCAGCAGGTATCAGATTTGTCAAAAATATGGACACCTGGGACATTCCTTGAGTAAAACTGGGACAAATCACTGGTTGTAGATAAATCTGATGGGACTGGGGACACGGGGCTCAAAACTGGGACTGTGCCGGGTAAACAGGGACATCTGGTCACCCTGTCTTTAAACAGTTGCCTCCAGTTCACTCATGGTTGACATATGTCATTGGTTCTTCACATTCTTTTAAACTTAGCATTTTTCCCTTCTCCCTCACCTTAAAACACTTTCTGTGGTCCCTCTCAGCAGACCTCCATTATCTGCTGTGAGGGAAGTGGAGCAGCGCTAACTCTCTCCAGCTCCCTGCGCTAACACGGGCGCTGGCTAAAAACCTCCTGGAGCTAAACAAATCCGGTTACTCCACACATCCACGGAGCCGGCGCTAAATGGGATTATTCCGCCCCGAGCCAAGGCGTGTCCGCAAACACGCAACCTCACATCTCCTCACGCCGTTTAACCTTCTGCCATTCAAACAAGAGAGGAATACAATGTGGATAGACACCGTGTTACCTTTTCTTGTTTTGAAAATACTACACTCGCTCTCCCTTCCTTTGCTCACTGCGCTTAGTCACTCCCCCTTCAGAGCGCTATCACAACACATTCAGAGTCACATCGCTTCAGGTTGTTATATACAGTTTATGGAGAACTGTTGTGTAGGACAGAAGTCTTCAACGGGGGGGGTCACAAAATCTTTGGTTGATTAGACTTTTCTTTTTTTTTTATTTCTTCATTCTTCAACGATGAGGATGAAGTGGTTTCAGTGGGTTCTGTCTGTTCGCTCCTTCATCACGTGTGTCTCTCTCTTTATTCTCTCGTCTCTCGCTTCCTGTCAAACTGCAAACACCTCGGCGCAGATTTTATTGTTTTTTCTTGGCTACATGTGCTGTTCAATTACAGCTTCACTTTTACACACAGCGGAGCGTAAGCTCCCCACATAATATCGCGCATCGGGAAGGGGTCAGACAACTTCATTCAACGGGCGTATTAACCAGGATCTGCACTACGCAGCTTCCTCTCTACCGTTGGAGCGACCGGGAGAGGATGGAGAGTGATCGGGAGAGGAGGAAAAGCGATTGGGAGAAGAGCAGAAGTGATTGGGAGAGGAGGAGAAGCGACCAGGAGAGGAAGGGTAGCGACTGGGGGAGGAGGGTAAGCGACCTGGAGAGGAGGAGAAGTGACCAGGAAAGGAGGAGAAGCGACCAGGAGAGAAGGAAAAGCAATTGGGAGAGGAGGAAATGCGATCAGGAGAGGAGGAGAAGCGATCGGGAGAGGAGAAGCGATTGGGAGAAGAGAAGTGATCGAGAGAAGAGAAGCGATCTTGAGAAGAGGAGAAGTGACCTGGAGAGGAGAAGAAGCGACCAGGTGAGGAGGAGAAGTGTCTGAGAGAGGAGGAGAAGCTATCGGGAGAGAAGGAGATGCGACTGGGAGAGGAGGGAGAATGAATAGGAATGACCAGGAGAGGAGGAGAAGCGACCGGGAGACAAGGGGTAGCGACTGGGAGAGGGAGCGACTGGAGAGAGGAGAGCGACTGGGAGAGGAGAGGAGGGAGCGACTGGGAGAGGAGGGAGAGCGACTGGGAGACAAGGGGTAGCGACTGGGAGAGGAGGGAGAGCGACTGGGAGAGGAGGAGTGACCGGGAGAGGCGGGGGCAGTCGTGTCTTTCCTCTCGCTCCTCAAATCAGAATGACCCAAATCATACACTGCGGGTGCACACTGTGACTCCTCTCTCATTTAATCAGATCATTTAAAAAGTCACATTTGAGTTGATTTTCTGTGATGTTGTTGCTCCAGTGCTCTGGCCTTCCCTGAGTCACCGCAAGTGCACACGACTTCTGGCCTGACTTTAGGTTTGGTCAGACTCAGGCTTATTTCTGTCTAGTCTAGAGCTAGTTTCAGCTCAGGATTTCAGGATAAGCCTGGACTTGTTAAGCAACTTCGATGAAATACCCCCAAGTATTGAAAGTACAATAAGAGATCATATAAAACTCAATTGTATGTCATATATGTAGTAGGGGGTCCCTGCTCCAGCTCTCCATCAGTCTGGGGGTCCCTGGTCTAAAAACGTTGAAGACCCCTGGTGTAGGAGCATGGGTGAGGTAGACTTGTGTGAGTCTTGTACAGAATCGTACTGTTAAACATAAAGAGGGTTCAAACAAATAATGATAAGGTTTAACATGTGTGGATCATAAGTTTGGTGATTTCTTTAAAAACAGTCGTCGCTAATAAAAGCGTTGGTGATTTCTCTTGTAGTCGCTCTGTCTCTGTGTGACCTGCAGTGGCCACAGGAGGCGCTCTGTCTCAGGGGAAATATTTGTTTGTGGAATGTTTGGACTTGTGTTTAGTCCTCAGAGAGAATACACCAGAGGCACCCACGGGACCTCCTGTCTCCCACTGCACCTCTCTCTCTGTCTCTGCTCCCACCTGTCCTCTCGTTCTCTCTTTATTTCTCCCTTTTCTCCCTCTCTTCTCCTTTATTTTGTCCTTGCATCTCTCCCTGACTATCTGCCTCTCTCTATCTGCTTCCTTTTCCTCTTACTCCCCCTCTCCCTTTCCCCTGTCTTCTCTTTCTCTCACCCTTTCCTCCTTCTCTGCCTCCATTCTCCCTCTCCTCTTCCTCCATCTCCTCCTGCCTCTCTTCCACCTCTCCTCCCTCCTCCTTTCCCTTTTCTCCCCCTACTCTCCTTCTCTCCCCTCCTCTCTCTCTCTCTCTCTCCCTCTCTCTCTCCGTCTGCCCTCCCTCACTCTGTACAGTCAGCAAACACTTCCCAAAATAACCTTTTTAACAAACGTGCTCAAATCTCCACTTTTCATTTGCGTCCTTCAAAACGGCACTCTCTCCATTTTAATGGAAAAACCTGGAAAAAAAAAAAAAGGAGGAGCATTTTGTGAAAGAGAGAGAAAAAGAGAGAGGAATTTATAATAAACGTGCGGACCAATTCTACCACATTTCATCTGCTTATCGGCTTTTCAATTATTTCCCAAGGGAAACAGAGAG